GGAAGAAAAAAATTGGAGGAAATTACAACAAATGAGGAAGAAACAATGCTACCCATTTTAATATCAGAATTTGAACTAGCGCTTTATGACTTGAAACAAAATAAAGCGCCTGGGATTGATAATATAACAGCAGAGTTATTGAAATGTGCTAGTACGAAAATATCAACTAACACGGGATACATATTAAAAAGGAGTTATGCCGAATGATTACTGTAAAAGCATTCTTGTAACTATGCTAAAGAAAAGTGGAGCAAATTCTTGTGAACAGCTTAAAACGCTGAGTCTACTAACATATGTATCAAAAATCCCAATAAAAATTATAAATCGAAAAATAGAAGTAAAAGTGGAACACTACTTAAAAAATTATCATTAAGGGTTCAGAAACAAAGTAGTACACGAAAAGATATTTTAGGACTGTAAATGCTAATTGAAAAACAGTTCGATAGAAATAAAGTTACATACTTGGCTATCATAGACCTGGAAAAGGCTTTCGGCAAAGTAAATTAGAGCAAAATGCTTCTCACACTACAAGAAATAAATGGTGAACAACAAGACCTAATAATCGTGCACAATCTTTATAAGAATCAGACAGCTTGCATTAAAAAAGGAAAAATCACAACCTACGCTTAAATAAAAAAAGGAGTCCGACAAGGGTGTACGTTATCATTTTTTAACTACTACATCGAAAAAGTTATAAATATAGTGAAAGTAAAGCTAATAAGACTAAATATTAGAATCAAAATTGGTGGAAAAATTTTTTCAATGATACGATTTGCCGATGAAATTGTGGTAATAGCAGAGAGTGAAGATTATATACAGCGGGCAGTTATAGAAATGGATAAAATTTTTAGAAAATCAGAAATAAAATAAATAGTGTAATAACGAAGATCTTAGACTGCGTCAGGGACCCGAAAGTAAAATCTAATGTATACATAGATAGTCAAAAACTGGAACAAGTAGAGGAAATGGTATCCTGGAATTTATGAATTAAGCGTCTTTTGCTTTACTGGAGAATTTGACGACAAACAGAGTGGAGTGACCTCAACAACAAGGCATTGCCTTTTATAGATGATGGTTATGAACAAACAAGTTTTATTTGATATGTATTGCATAAAGCCCTCTAATTTGTATACATATTTGTCATACAAGTAACTACTACTTTATAATTTGTTATCATTTTTCCGTAAAAGTGACTATACTAAATTACTAAATATCAATTTCATGCTATAATTAATTGTAATCATTAATATTTATTCATTATACTTAGAAATCATAAAACTTAAAATCAAGATATATATAAGGAAATAGAATTCATGTTCCTTCAGATTAATTCAATAATTCATTTTAAGAACTAAATACTATCTATAGATTTGCATTCAAGTGTTTTTATGATAGTGATTTTAGTCTTTTATACTTATTCCAACTATATCACGTGACCCAACTGTTTTACCATTTTTTATTTAATTAGATCCTTTTTTTATTTTATAAAGTAGTTAAATATGTTCCCATATAAAAAATTAACTTGACATTCTTATAAGTTTAAAGGATGAATACAAAATAAATAAATAAAATGTATTTATTTATTAATTAATCAATTAATTTAATTTAATTTAAAAAGATTAAATAAAATCAATATAACATTCTTAATTTAAATATTCTGACCTTTGTGAGTAAATTATTTTTTCAGTTATAAATTTTAAATTGTAATTTATCAAACGCCATTGATAGCTAGAATATTTTTTTCTGGAAAGAGAAGTTCTTTTCTGAACTGCAATAATTCACCCTGGAAATCTTTATAATCTATACTTAAATCTTATTTATTTATTTTTTTTTATATATAAAATGGATGTACATATCTCACCTCTTATGTAGGCATAACAATGTAGGCAAAGACAATATAGGCATAAAACTTGTCACAAATATTGATTTAGAAAATTATAAAAATACAAAGAACGGTAATTTGACCTAAAGTATATGCATTTATAATTAAAAAAATAACAGTAGCATAGTTGAGTCGTGGTACAATGGGGGCGTAGAATAGTTGGAACAAGTATATATGATATCTGACAATGATTAAATCTATATCACTTAGATGCACATCTATAGATAGTGTTTATTTTTTACAATGATATATTAAATAATTATTCTGAATGAACATGAATTCCTATTTCCTTATTTATATATATATCATAATTTCAAGTCTTATGATTTCTAATTATAATATATAAATAAATATTTATTATATTAATTAAATTTAGTATTAAATCAATTAAGATCAATAATTTAATGTTGTAATTTAAGATAAAATTTAAAAATTTGTAAAAAAGTTGTATATTTTGTTACTTTTAAAACAAACATGCATTAAAGTTGAAGGGTTTGGTGCAAAAATGTCAGAAAATATTTTTTTGTTAATTATGAATAAAAACACTATTCTACAAGGAATTTTCGTCAGAGCAACCAACCCAATCTGGTCTAACATTAAGGTAGAATTTTTCCTATGGACTAATTTAAAATTAAAATAAAAAAAAATACGTAACAAGTTGAATGTATTAAGTTGGATGGGTTGGGTTTCAAAATCATAATAAAATTTTCTACTTGATGTAATTATTTACCCACCAAACGATCAATATTGACGATAATGATTATTACTTTAATTAATTAAAAGAAGAAAGTTAATTGTATATTCTGAATTCTACATTTTTAAATATAAATTTTTAAATAGTTAATACATTTGTCGTGTACGATCATTAAAGTATTTTCACTCAGTATATGGAGATACGTATGTACACACGAGCAGTGTTTGGTCGACTAGCAGCGTCGTCCAAGCAATATGCAGAATCATATATCATAAGTAATGTGCTGCAATCATGTGCGTGCGGGTACGGTTCAGCTGCGACCTAACTTTTTGAAAAATATATGGTTCAATACAATTTTTTCATGAGAAGTAGTATTTATATACATCTTTCATTTGACATACTTTTTTTTAAATCTTTTTTTTTCCCCTATATTCGGGGGGGCTTTAAATATTAAAAATGCATAGATCAATACAATTTTTTTATGAGAAATAATATTTTTTAATAATCTCTTTTTCATTCGACATCATACTTTATCTTAATCAGGATATTAATAAGGAACTAGCAGATCATGTAGCTTTTGGAATAATACACCATTTTTTTTAAATTAAACACTATCTAAAGATTTGCATCGAAGCATTTTTTTTTTTGATAGTGATTTTAATCACTGTCAGATATCATTATACTTGAACCAACCATGGCACGTCACCACTGTGCCGCGACCCCCTGTGCTGGGTTTTTTATTAACTGCGTATACGCTAATCGTTAATGGTTAGTGTAATAGTATAATTTTTATTATTATTATTATTTTAATTTCTATTTTCTACTGCAACCTTTAGAATCTTCTTCTTCTTACTCGCCTTAATCCCAACTACTTGAGGTCGGCCACCCTTATCCTAAACTTCAACTGGACACGATATCCCACATCATCTACGCTCAAATCAGCTGTCCTCATATCGCATTCAATAGCATTCCTCCATCTCTTTTTTGGACTTCCTCTACCTCTTCATCTTTCAACATTCATTTCTACAGCTGTTCCTACGGCTTCGGATTCTTCTCTCTTCATAACATGACCAAACCATCTAAGTCTATTTTCTCTCATCTTATCCACGATTGACGCTACGTCTATACTCCCTCTTATATGCTCGTTCCTTATCCTATCTTCTCTAGACACTTCACTCATCTATCTAAATATTCTCATCTATGCTACACTCATTCTCTGCTCTACTTTCTTATCAAACGCCCAACACTCTGAACCTTACATCATAGCTGGTCTCACTACAGTCTTGTAGAATTTTACACTTTAAAATTACTAATTACTTTTTTATGAGAATTTTTTGCGGAAACTAATATAATATAATTCATGAAACTTTTCTTTCTTATAATTTAATTATTAGTTTCGATGCAAAGCTAAAAAGGTTTGTCATAATGTGCGTTTGTTTTTTATGACTATCCATAAAATTTCTCAACTCTTGCTGGAAAGATTTTAATAATCAATAGATCCTGGTTTTAATATAGTTGAATATATTGTCATAAATAAAAAATTGGAAAATACTCATCAATTTTAAAATTTTTGAAATATAACTCAAAATTACGTTACCTTAAAAAGAAATTTCCAAGAAAATTTCTTTTGGGCCAATAGTTTGATTCAAAATTTTTGTTATATTTTGTCATAACAATTCTTGCGTAGTAAAAGATGATCTAAATTTTTCGTTTTTAATTTAGGGTACTTATGAACAAAATCAATTAACAATTGACCTTTATCAGCTTTCATTATAAAAAATAACACGAAAAATTAAATTAAAAATATTAACGAATAAACAGCAATAAATTTTTCATGGGTAAATTTTGTTGTTATTATAAATTTTATCAAGTATTAATGATAAAATTAATATAAAATACAGTACAGCCAATATAATTTAAAATATCGCAACAATAATTATTGGTTTGAAATGACTTTAGATTAGACGATGTACGATTAGTGCAATATTTTTAGATTAATAAAAAATAAAATTCAAAAATACGAATTTCCATTAGTGCACTAAAATCATAATCTAATGTTTTAGTGTACTAAAACATTCGTTAATGATTATTCCAAACTTAAAAATAGACCCCCTGATTAAAAGTGACCACATACATAAAAAAACACATAATAATAAAATTATTATTTTACCTCCTATTAAAGCTAAAACATTATTTAAAATTTTTCAAAAGTCAAAATATAATATAAAAATATAACACAAAATTAATTAAGTCGTACAAAAACAAAGTTTAATTAAGTTAATTAAAAATCTTTCTCCGAAAAATTTACTCAATTTCCGGTTCATCAATCAAATTCTAGCTATTACGTCCTTTGAAAGAAAATCCGATTTTCTAATTTAAATATCTTTGTAAAATTTTTTATTGTAAATTTTTTTTTTTTTACAGANAAATTTAATAGAGCATCTTGGCGAAAAGCGTCGAATTTTATGTGGACGAGAATATCTGATACGGATGTACAGCGGCAGTTAAAACTATTGGCATTTAAAGGGCCATCAAATTTACCAGATACTAAACTATATGAGGTATTAGTCATTTTACTTAATTTTTAAATTATATAATAATTTACTTATATGTAATTATTAACATGTAATTTTATAAAAAATTTTCTCAAAAAAAAAAATCAGATAATCCTTATTAATACATTTTTTATTCATCATTTTTTATTTATCATCTTTATTCGAATAAAGTAGTATTTATTTTATTAATATTAACAATTTCCTGAAAAAATACATTTTTGATTAAGTTACCAATTAATGAATAATAAGTTTGACTTAAAATTATTATGTCACTTCAAAAATGTTAGACGGTTGGGGATCATAAGTTAATAAAAAAATCTTTAAGATTTTATTATATTTTTCAAAATTTATGCTCTCCAAATGACTGCAAATTTTCTCCGCATTTTTTTTTTAGATATTATTAGAAAATCAATATGTTAGAGACAGGGGCACTAAATATTATAGAGCGTACCCGAACCGTCTAAAAGCATTAATACCGATCAGACTGTGTAGTGTAATGCCGTGTAAATAGAGTCATTGGTGGTGGGAGGGTTCGCTTGCACAAAACCAGTGATCTATGTTGTGAATAAATATGATTTTGTTTTGTGTATTTAGAACTCTTAAAGTAATTAATGTAAATTAAACTTGAATTAATTGTAATAATATTTTTAATAATAAAAGAAGAGTATAAATGTAGCCCCTTTGGCTCATAAACAATAATATAAATATAAACTCTAAAAAAATATAACTAAATAACAACAGAAATAAACTTCAATGATCAATAGCAAATAAATATGACTTTTCCAATAATATATAACTTTCAACTCACTCTTTTGAAAATAATTATAGTAATAAACAATATGTATAAAAATGACAAAAAAAAGGAACAATGGTGTAACAAATATGTAAAGCAAAAGACAAATTTATTAATAATAGTACTCACAATTCACAGAGCTGCTGGCTAGAAATGCTACCTATAACTAAATGAAACACGACAATAACTAGTAAACAATAACACAGTAATAACAAATAAAATTAAGGAACTACAATTTTTAATATCACAATTAGTTTAAATACATTTGCCAATTAGTAGCAATGAACCACAAAAAAAACTATCTATCAGCTAATTAGTAGCTTAAGAAAAAAAACAAGATCGCAATTTATGCAATGACAAGTAGTGCACTCAAATTAAAAGAACTGTTTCCATTAACAGCACTTCAAATTGCTGTAATTGGTCCAGTCAATTTAGAAATATACAATTCTTACCAACATAAAAAACTACACTACTGATGTAGTAGGAAAAATGCGTTGACCGTATAAACCGGTCCGAGTACGTAATGTTGTTAACACAATTAATAAATTATTGTGTGTTTCAATAACATGACGTTGAATTGAGACTGAATTACAAATACAAATATATTGAAGTTTCCATCTCATAACTAACCATTAGTTTATATGAGAAAATTATTTTTTAATAGATCAGTTTGCTTCTTAATGAAATGAAGGACATCTATACTAAAACAAAAATTTGTCCATTTAATTATCATTTGACTTCCTATTGCGAACTTAAACTTGAGCCTGGTAAGGTTATTACTATTAAAAAAAATTGTTAAAAATGTATATTAGGGTGGTTGTTAAAATTAAATCTTTTATTTTGTATCTGAGACTAACAAATTATTTAAATTGCTTAAATTACTGTTTAAACTATTTTACGAACTAAAACACAAAAAATATAAATGAATAATTTAGAAATTTATTTTTTATACAACTCTTTAAAATTCGTATCGGTACTTATTAAAATAAAATATTTTACGCGATATTCATAAATAAATGCAACATAATAATGAACAATTAATTACATTTTTATTTTTATAGCAAAATACAATACATTACATTACATATAATTAAATTTTATTTAAACATAACAAAATGTTTTAATTAACATATTAATTTGAATATATTTTTTTCGCCAAAAATAAAAGGATTATCAATTTCATACCACCATTTTATTGTTTTTGGTGCGGGGGTACTAATAGCAATAATTGAAAATTTAATTTTTTGAATGTACACAATAAGCAAAACTAAAATATTTATTTCTTTCGACATATCATGATAGGTTTATACAAAAGAAATGGCTTATTGTTTTTAAATTTAAATAGTGTATGTTTTTATGAAAATTTAATAACCTGTAAAATTAATGTGATCAAATATTTGAAACTTTTTGAACCACCCTAATTAAAATTTTTAATGAAAGTTATTAAAATTACATAAACCATTAATATAAGCTAGTTTAAAAAATATTTTATAGATTTAGTTAAAATTATGGCTAATTCAAGAGATTATGAAGAGTTATTGTACACTTGGAAAACCTGGAGAGATAGCATTGGTCATAAAATTCGAAAAAAATATATAACTTACGTCAATTTAGTGAATGAAGCAGCACGATCAATAGGTACTGAATATTTATTATTAAATAAGTATAGTTATAATTATTTTTTCATTATTAAATATTATACTTTAATATTCGTTTAATATTAAAAATACCAATAGCTGTAACCAATAATTAGTTATGCTTATTAATTTTAAATAATTTAAGTATGATTGAAATTGATATATGTTGTTATGCCATCAATTTTTAACTCGAAACACCTCTTGGTCGGGGCATCCAGTATTTTCGCCTGTTATGGACACGACTTGACTCTTAATCAACTAAAATTTAATGATAATACTCTTCAATATTAACAGAATAAATGTAAATTTATTATTATTAAAACACAATATTACATAAATTAATATACCATTACTACACAATTACATATTTAAATGGTTTATATGCAACCTGGTTACTTCCTTTATTACGTCTTCATATTAGGACCAGAAACGTTCTCCACAACATGAACCAGCGGATGGGCATCCAAAATTTCTCTTGGCTATCGAATTGGCGATCACGGATCTTAGCTGTGGGCTCTCAAGTTCAGGCACTCCACTGTCCGTCATAAGATCGTTTTAGCATAAGTGCCAAACACAGACTTGCCGTACACAACGACGCAAAACAATTTCGATCGCGTTAACCGGTAGTACAAAAAGTGGCGCTACATCTGATCGGCGCCCGAACATATGTAAAACATTTTAATATAAATCTGTAGTCTTGGGTGTATATGAACGGATATTAAACAAAATAGTATGTATAATTATAAAACCACAAGTTAAAAGACTTCCAACACAGCATCAAATATAAGCTTGCAAATTTTTCAAACAAAAAAATAATTAATTTACTAAAATTGAACTATTTTTAAATTCTTTTTTTTTTTTTAACAAAACTTCTAAACGAAAAAAAAACATTACATGCACAAAACTGTTTGTACTTTTTTTGACTTTTGTTTTATCAAGTTAAAAATAGTACTTGCCATTTAAAATAAATATTTTTAAGGGTGAATAATTTATTTTTTTTAAGTCGTTTCTGACTATCAGTGGAGGCCCACCTTTTTCTATCACGTATATGCACATTTTAAATTCTATTTCTAAATATTTGGCATTTAATTCAATTTTATCTATTGGATTTATGTTGTTTCCTACATAATCAGAGAGGGAAATGCCATTGTCTAACATTGTGATATTACTGAAAAGAGCAGAATACATTTTATTTGTAATTACACTATGTAAAGATCCTGTGTCTATTTCAAATTTAACATCTACATTCTCTGTTAATAAATTAGTTGTAAATTGTTTAATTCTATTTTGAGAATTAGTTTCTATCAAATTAAAAAATGTATCAGACAAGTTGTATGCAACTGCCTGATCGTCTACTGTTTCATTAGAATTTTCAGTTAAAAATTTAGTGTATGAACAGTTATCATAGTTTTGCTTAAAACTCTTACCATTTTTGCACATAGGGGCCAAATGACCTTTTGAATTGCATATATTGCAGCTGTAATCCTTGTATCGACAGTTTCTTTTGTAAATACTTTGAGCAGCCACATACTCCACACTTTGGTTTATCCGATGGTTGACTATTGACCTGTTTATTTTGATGAAGTGGCTTTTGTTAATTGAGTTCCGATTCATGTTGTTCCCAAGTATTTTTTTTTCATTTATACCTATATTTTTTTAGCATTAAATCCGTGTAATAAATAAAAAGGCGTGTGGTTAGTGGATATTTGAGGAGTGTTGTTATAACTAAATGTTATATAAGGTAGATAATAATATATAATAAATGTAGTGTCTAATAGCTTGGCATATTACACCATTAATTCTTTCAGTGAACTCTTGTGATTGTGGAGCATAACTAGAAGAGAATATTTGTTTTATTCCAAAGTTTTTGCAAACTTGTTCTAGTGCGGAATTGCGAAAATGAGAGCCTCGGTCGCTAGAAAGATAGCGGATTACACCATACTTGGTTATGAAATTTATCAAAAATCTAATTACAGTGTTGGCATCAGCCGATCTAGTGGCTTTTGTAAATACATATTTGGTGCTTTGACATGTAAAAACTAAAATATATTTTTTATTGTTACTACTGACTAATGGACCAAGAAAGTCGGCTGTTAGTCTATCAAGGGGCTTACAACAGAGTAGTGGAATAGGTTGAAGTTCTCCTGCGGGTTTCCCTGGAGCTTTTTTATTTATTTGACATTCGTGACAAGTTTTTATAAAATGAGTAACATCTTTAATAAGATCTGGCCAATAATATTTAATTTGTATTTTCTTAATTGTTTTTGTAATTTCCAAATGTGCTGACATAGGTGGACAATGATGTGCTGAAATGACATCTTGCACAATTGATTTAGGTATTACTATTAGATTATCTATATTCTGTTTTGGCATGTATTGTTTTAGGTAAATTATATCATTTATAATTACAAACCTTCTAGACATCTTAATTATTTTGTTGGATATCTTTTGCCCATTTAATGTTTTTATTATTTGTTGGCAAAATAAATCTTCTTTTTGACTTACAATTATATCTATGTTTTTTAATGAGGAACTTGTGTCTATTATGTTTAATAATGTATTTTGTGTATCATCAAGGTCATTAATATATGTAATTTTATAAAATTCATTAACAAATGAAGTTGGAATTGTGTGTATAGTATTATTAATAACGTTTGTTTCATATTTTAATATTTTATCATTTGTGTAACCTATATGGTTGTCCATTTTTTTGTTGGACTCGAATTTATTGAAATCATTCTTATGGTTTATAATGTGTGTATCTTTATTACACGTATCATATGTGTTGTGTATATTCGTATATGCAATACTTGTATTCTTTTCATTAAATGTATTTTTTATTATATCATATTCAATTTCATTGACTAAGTCTACGTCATTATGTGAATCAATTTCAATAAATGAATCATAAGCATTACTTGAACCGATATCATTAAACGCGTTTTGTACAACATTATGTGAATCGATTTTAATAAACGTGTCCTTTAAGGTATTAGTTGAACCGATATCATGAAATGTATTTTGTACGACATTAGCTGAATTGATTTTATGAAATTCGTCTTTTACGACAATTTGTATATTAATCATATTACGCGCGTTATTATATTTATTTTTCGCGTTATCATTTATATCAATTATATTATCTATATTACATTTATCTTGCGCGCTATCAATTATATTATATTTATTATTTACCCCATTATCATCATATTCTTTAAATTTATTATTTTGCGCGCTATTATCATATTTTTTTCCAAAATTATTATATTTATTCTCATTATGCGCTTTATATATATCATTTGATTCATTAATATTCTCATATAAACTATTCTTTTTATACTTATAATGTTCATTATTCGCGCAATATTTATCATCTATATTTATTATTTTTCGGGGTATATCATTATTATTTATATTATATATATTTTCATTTTTAATATTATCAATTCTATATTCATTTAAATCATTATCATTTATATAATTAATCATATTTTTACTAAAATCAGGGGTATTTTTATTTCCCATATTGTTATTAAGGCCTTTATAAGTATCATTGCAATGTTTATTATAGATATTTGTCATGACAGTATTTTGTGAATGATCATTCATATTAGTGTCAATTTGTGTATTACGCGTAAATAATTGGTTATAGTGCACTGTGTTTTCGTTTTCGTCATGTTCTATGCAATAATTAAATATTACTGCATCTATGATGTTCATGATACCTTCCCTTGAGAGACAGTCAGCTACTCTGTTCTCAATGCCAGGTTTATGTTTTATCACGAAATCATAATCTAAAATTTTCAAAGTTAATCGTGTTATTCTAGCAGAAGGAATTTTTAGATTTTTATAATATAATAAGCTCATATTATCTGAATATACGGTGAACTTTCTCATCCATAAAAATTCTCTAAAATATGTTATTCCAAATACTAATCCTAATAATTCAAGAGTAGTGCTAGAATATGTCTTTTCGGAATCAAGTAGTTTACGCGATGCGTATCCTACTGGTCTAATTATATTTTTATCGTCTTTTTGTTCTAAAACTGCTCCTAAACCCATTAAACTGGCATCAATCGTTAAAAATGTTTCCCTATCGTCTGAGAAGTGTGCCAACAACGGTTTAGAGGTCAATATTGTTTTCAATTGTTGAAATGCATTCTCGTGTTCAGATTCCCATGTGATTATTTTGGATGCATTCTTTTTTATTAGTTCAAGTAATGGAGATGCTATTTTTGAAAAATCTTTTATTAATCGTCTATAGTAACTGCACATGCCTAAAAAGCTTCGAACTTGTTTTGGAGTTTTAGGTGTTTCAAATTCAGTCACAGCTGATATATTTCGAGACAGAGGTGTTATTCCGAGCTCTGAAATGCCATGTCCTAAGAGTTCTATATTTTGTGCAAATAGGTTACATTTCGATGTTTTTAATGAAAATGAATAATTATCTAATATTTTGAATACGTTTTCTAAATTTAAAAGTGCAGTTTGAAAATCTTTCCCGAAAGTAGCTATATCATCAATGAATATTACTATCGATTTATATAGATATTGGGAGAATGCTTTATTTAGTTCTCTTTGAAAAATTGCACTTGAATTACGAAAACCTTGTGGTAAACGTGTAAATGTTAATAGCCCATGAACTGTTGTAAATGCTAATTTATGTTGGTCTTGTTGCCTAACCGGAATTTGAAAAAAACCTGAGTTTAAATCAAAAGTGCTAAAATATTTTGATCCTTCTAAACTTCTGAATAAATCAGCAGTTCTAGGGAGGGGGTAAGTATCAGCCTCTACCATATTATTTAAGTCCTTATAAGATACTACTAAACGGTATGAGCCTTTTTACTTTTTTCGAACTAAAAATGCAGGAGAAGAATAACTAGATTTTGTGTGTACTACAATATTAGCTGCCATTAATTTATCTAATTGTGTTTTTAATTCCTCGCGCTGTTCAGGTGAAACTCTATGAGGAGAACAAAATTTGGGTTGTTTTGCGTTGGGCTTTAGTGTTATATGACATGGTTTTACCTTAGCTGGGTGTACTTTGCTTAAATCGGTAGTGAATAAATGTGTATAATTCTTAATCAGATTTGTTAGTGTGTTATGCTGTTCGACTGTTAAATGTGGTGATATTTTTATTTCTGTACCCTCGGAGTCATAAACGCGCTCTTTGTTATTGTCTAGAATTGTGTTAACATCTAGCTTTTGAGTCTTATTTTGCGCTATATATGTTTTAATGTCTTGTTTAACTGATTATAAAGATATAAAATTAGTAGTATGTATAATATTAGTGGGGATTTTAGAAATGCTTTTATTGTTTTTCTTTAGTATACCTGGTATCCAGTGTGTACCTTCATTTACAAGGTAAAGAACTATTAATTGCCTATTACCAGGGCCATATACATATCCTAATTTGGAATGTTTTATATAGATGTACAAATCAAAGCCATAAAAATTTGTTAACGTTGCTAATTGATCGTCATGCCACCAGTAGTTAGGTAGTTCTTCCAGATCTAATAATTTACATATTTTAGCTAAATTTGTTATTTGGTTTCCATATAAGTTCAAAGAATTTATTAACGCATAAATAATAAACGCATAAATTAACACATCGTCCGTCAGAAGGAACATCTTCCCCTAATTGATATTGTGAAAACACATTCATAAATTTTGATGTAGAAGTATCATTAATAATAGAATTAATGTTTTTCTTAAGGTTTTTTATAGAAGATTGCACGTTAGATATAATGTCATTATTGTGTTTAGGTATTGAAAGTATAGGGTAACAGATTAATATATCTATCGGTTGATTTTGGAATATTTCAAATATTATGTCTTTGATTGTGTCCCAATATAGGCCATCACAAATTAAATCTACGGAAGAAAANCCTTTGATTGTGTCCCAATATAGGCAATCACAAATTAAATCTACGGAAGAAAATGCTATGAAAGGAAACTTTTGTTCTAAAGCAATATTTTTTAGATTAAAGAGACTTTCGAAGAGATCTAGGTATGAAGCCTGAGAATCGCAAAACTCTTTTGTTATTAATAAGTGTATTATTTTATCAGATATTATTGTGTTTACTTGACCTAAATATATGTTAGTATTTTTTAGCAAATCCGTTATGTTACCAAATTTATTAGTAACATTTTCAAATATTTTAGATTTATATTTTAGGTCAGTAGATGTACATAAAGCTATGGTGTAATTATTGGGAATATTCATAATATCTATAAATGTTTCTTTGATATTGTTATTTTGTTTACAACAGTTGGTGCTTTTTATATGATCCATGGTTTTTTTTATATTTTCTATTGTGTTTTTAAATTTACTACTCATTATAGGGGTTTCGATTTCGTTTAAAAATAGGACTTTTTTAGCATAATTTATATTTGCGTTATGTTGAGATAAAAATTCATTGCCTAATATAATTGTACTACTTAAATTTTCTATGACGCACACTGGTATTTGATAAAATTTATTTTCTATTTCTAATTTAATTGTGGTTGTTCCCAATAAATTTAATGGTGATTTATCTGCACCGGATAATTTATAATTGTGATTTTTATTTATATTAGATGAATCTATGAGGTCAGGTCTTATACAATTTATATTTGCACCTGAATCTATTGTGACTTCTATTGGTTCGTTATTTAATTTAGCTAAAATATATAATGCATTAGCTTTTCTATCGCGATTTAGAATTATAAAAATGTTGTTTGTGTCAGTGTTAGTACTTTTATTTGGAATTGGAGAAGAAGGTGAATGCATATAATCTCCAATTATTGCATTTGACCTTGGCGCGTGTTTTTTTGGTAGTTAGAATTTTTGTTGAGATAACAATTCTCCCTTGTATGATATCGTTTATTACATAAATCACAGATCAAGTTGCAATTTTCCGATTTGTGATTATTGCGATTACAATATATACAATTATTCTTTCGCTCATATGTATTTCTGGGACTATAATTATTATTGTAATTTCTATTAGCATATTGCGTATTATTTTGTTGATAATTATTTGCGCGAGTATCGTTATAATTTTGGCGTGAATAAAATATTGGACGTAAATAATTATTTCCCGAACGTAAATTGTTGTTGTTTCGACGCGTATTATAGTATTCTTGCCGCGTGCCATTAAATAAACGTTTGCTGTTGTCGGTGTTATCATTATTGTTTTTTGTAATAAAAAACTGAAGTTTAGAAATTTGTGAAGTTATATTATCTAACTGTTGTTGCATTTTATTTTGCTCACCGATTTGATAAATATTTTCGCTAGTTATTCGCTGTTTTATGTCGTCTTTCGATTGTATAGTATCCCCTTGTAACATAAATTCAACGGATTCGTATTTTCTTATATTAGCTTTTAAATCTTTTAAACTATTGTTGTCTAATATACCGACATATCGAGCTATTTTTGGATGTAAACCTTTCATTATATTATGTACTAACTCAGATTGTGACATTTTAGGATCTACGCGCTTACATAATTTTTCAGTGTCATTAATGAAAGAGGCAATGGACTCATCTGGGAGTTGTTTACGTTTAGAGAGCATAATTCTAAGCATGTGATTTTGTGCAGTGGGTTCAAATTCAATACGCATGGCGTTTTCTAGGTCAGGCCATTTTACTGAGGGATTCTCCCTTTCATAATTTTCATAAAATATTAGAGCAGTATCGGTTAAATAAATAGCTAAGAATGACTTCTTTTGATCGGATGACCAATTATTTATATCGCTAGCTCTGTTATACTTAGTTAAAAAGGCATCCACGCTTTCGTGAATCGCGCCAGAAAATTTGTCAGGTTGACAAAATGGAATTCGCTCGTTCATGTTTTTGGGAGGTTGATGATTAACTTCAAAATCAGATTCTATAAACTCGCCTAAAAGGAAACGTTGGAGTCTGTCTTTAAGAATAGTTATTGAACCGTCGATTCTTAATTTTCTTTTAGTTAATTCTTCTACTATTGAATTATATGGGGCTTTTTTTATCCACAAAGCTAAATTTTGAGTGTATTGAACAATTTTATCTGAATCAGTAGAGGATTCTTCCATTTATTACATTAATTAATACAAATAAATATATGAATGTATTTTTGTAATTAATTAAATTAGAATTAATATGACACAGTTTTATAATTAAGTATTGTTTAAAAAAAAAGAAATGATAGTAATAAAAATAAAAGTTATATAAAATTTTGTATTAAGTAAATTATTGGGAATAAAATTATTTTTTAACTGTTTCAGGATTTACGCATGAAATATTTTCGTCTTTAAATAAAATTTGTGAAATTTGATATGATGAATGTTTAAATAAATAATCTAGTATTAATGTGAGATGAGTTAAAATAATACTTTCTGTAATAGGAAAGATTGTGCGATTATCTATAAAAGTGTTTATAAATTTTTGAATAAGTAACGTATTTTGTACGTTTATGTTAAGGCGAAGAGTAGAAACCCAAAGTATATCTGCTAGATATATCATTAAATGATGATGAGTTGAAATTGTTCTGTTTTTTATTTGAAAAGTTACTATGCCGATCATATATTTTACTACTGATATAAGATTTTGTTTCGTTAAATCTGACATTTGTAATGTATATTATATTACAAAAATTAGGAACATTGAAGAAAAATATTGTAATGATATCGGTATTTGCGAAGTAGATTCAAAGCCACGAGTTGGTCGCCACTTTGTAATAAAAAATAAAATAAGGGGAGGCGATAAGATAGAGATAGTAGGAAAAGGATTATAAGTTATTTGGATTGTATTTGATTTATTCATATCATCTTAATCCTACCTCTTATCCACTCTGTCCTATTTCTTAATATTACATGAATATAGTGCATGTCTTAAGACTACACTTACCTTGATGTCCAAATGGATTCGTAGATAGATGGTGAATTGTGATGTTCCTTGTTGATGTCGATATTTTAAGTTAATTTAAATAAATAAAAATACAGATATGAGGGGCAACATACTGAGTTTATTTCTATAACTTGTATTAATTATTTTGACAAATATATATAAGTCTTATAATTAAAATTAACAAAAGTAACGTGAATTTTACATTATTAACTTTTAATATGAAAGTGTAAGATTATGGGGGAATAATAAGTGAAAATGAAAGTGAGAGTATGCGAGAGAGATAAAATGGAAAGAGAGTGTCTGTGCTAATTTTACTAGCCCTTTTATATTAAATTAGTTGGTAAGGTAATGAAGGGAGGCTAGTTTTTCTTAAAAATTTAACTATTTAATCTTGCCGTCTGTTCGGCGCCACAGATACGATTATGGTAATTAAAAAGATGGACATTAATGTAAACATCGCTCCAAATGAACGATGTATTTGTAAAAAGTAATAAAATAATAGTCGGTCAGAAAAGTATTTAAAATTGATAATTATTTGTGTAAAGATTATTCTAGAAGTTTCTCGGATAGTCTCGAAACTTCTATTTTGATTCATTACAATAAATACACCAAAGTTAAACGTTTTCATAAGAGAATGACTGATATCAGCAATTCGTATATTAAAATCGTCATTAGTGTGGTAGATACCTACTGTATAAAGTTCATCTAAAACTATAGTACAATAATATATATTTTTTGGCATACTAACATTCAAAAATATGGTTTTTTAGTTTCACTAAAACGTTGTGTTTTAGCATACTAAACAGATTAGTACACCAATGTAAAATTCAAAAATAGACCCCCTGGTCCTTTAGTCAATCATAACAATTAGTGTGTGTGCTGGCCAACCGTCCTTTAGTAGATATAGTGAAAAGGTAGTTGTGCTGGTGTCTGACAAGGAGCCACCCCTCAGTTTGCTACTTTTGTGCTAGATCGTACTGACGGGTCTAAACTCTAACCCTTTAGTAGTTCACTAATTGGAGTGATTGGGGCTGACCAGCGTATCCAAAGCAAGGACTCGAGAAAAGCTAAAAACGAACTTGTCATCTAAAAACGTTATTTAATTAGTGCATTAATTTTTGTGTCTACGTCGGGGTACTACCGACGTACGACAAAATAAAAATAAAATAAATAATATGTATAATAATAATATAAAAATAATTGTAATAACTTACTCTAAATATAGAGTAAATTAATCGGCATCCACATGATGCCGATTTAAATTAATTTAAAACTTAGTTTTGTTAAGAACCCTTAAATATTATTTTGTAGTGTAGAGTTTGGAATACAAAGTCGTCCCACTGTTGTCGGACACAGAAATGTGCTGACCAAGAGATTTAGGGCAACGATGGGTGAAGGACACCCACTGTAGGTCTCATACGGTCGGTCATCGTTTAGTATGCGCTAATTACACTCTTGTGTTATTCCATATCATAATTCTAATTCATTCTACATCATTCTATATCATTCTATTTTATTATCCTATTAATTTGTATTAATATTAAGAATTAATGTTGTATTGTATTATTTATTATCCAGTCATATTATATATTATAAATTGTTTGTTAAACAGTGAGTGTTTTCGTTTTTTTTTCTTTAAGTTTTAATTTCTTTACCACGTAATCCTGCACAACAGTCTACACAACTCCTGATAGTTCGAAGTTATTTTAACGAGACAATAGTTTAAAACAATTAATATTAACAGCTACATGGGTTTGGCAATGTAGAGAACAAAATATACTCAAGGTGGTAATATTCCATCATTTGCAACTAGTGAATGCTGGCTAACTAATTAAAAAAAAAAATATGACATTGTTTTAAACAAAATCTGTTGTAATGGGCAAGTATTTATGTATACTCAAATTAGTATCACGATTCAACTTTGTTAAGCAATTTGACACGACTTACGTCACAAAAATGTGGTCGACACTGGTTTTGAGGGTAGAGACTCGTGGGCCATTTATTAAATGAGCGACAACAGGTTATTTTAACAAAAAAATAAAACAAACCGAAAAGATAAACACAGTAATAATAATCTTCGCATAATATCGCGGCACTTTCGCTGGCGTCGACGACGCGATGTCCGGCGTAATCCTTGGGCGACAAAAGGTTAGCAGCGTTGTAAGTGATGGTGCGCGGGTGCGGATCGGTTGGTCGACGTTGTCGCTTTCACAATGGGAAGAAGACTCCTGCACCATTTGCGGCGGGTCGTTGTCGGCCGTGCATTTGCTGGACTTTGCACCGTAGCGTATAACACGCGGTGTTGGTCAGTCAAATACTCATAGTAGAGCGACGGCTGATAAAGGTGGCATGAGGCGCGGGACATCGTGTATGACGAAGCGACGCGGGCCGTGTCAAATAATGATCCATGAAACATGTTTAAAACTAAAGATACTGGACTTTTTTATGTGTTTATCAGACAAATCATTTACTAATAAATATCAAAATTGATATAGTGAGAAACATAGTAAAGACTGATTGACGCTTATACTTACTATGAATATAAATACTCCGAAAAATTAACATCACTTCTAAATAGAAAAAGCTACAAAACACAAAAATTAAAAAAAAAATAATTATTTCCTATAACTTATCGTTCAAACCAAAAAGCATTGATGACCGCCCGGTTATGTCTCTGAATTTATACATGAAAAAACAAAAACTCAAAATCTTACTATTTTTGAACAATTGTGCATAAAAACAATTGTTCACTTTTCAACCTCTCTATTTATCCAAAACTCGATTCAGTTATGGGGGCTAAAAGTGTTCCTATAGAAGCTGAAACCCCCACAGCAATCTGTGCAATCTACAATAATAATGCACATGCACAAAAACTGGCGGGGTTCCACGACACTTCTATGAAATTCTAGAAGTGCGTTGTGACACTACAAATAAGTCGGGACTATTGCGTTATTTGATAAATCGTGGAAAAACAACCTCTTCTACATTATGAACTCTTTTAAAATTTGGAATTTGCTTCAGATATTAATAAGACAGACCACGATGAATCAGTTGCTATGCCAATAATTTGGAAATTGCTACACGACAAAATAAATCTTATCGATTTTGTTGAATGACTTTATGATGCTGAAATTCTGATAACATGTCATGATATTGAAAGAAGCAAGTTTATTACATAATAAACTATGTATTTATTCAAAGTCAGAAGTTATAACGACATTTTCGACGTTCCATTTATTATTAAAAAAAAATTAGATCTAGTTATATTAGCTTAATCAAACAAAATAATTAATTTCTTTAACAAAAATAAACGTATTTTTATGATTTATTTAATTCGTAATTTTAATAATTAAAGATTAGATTTATTTTATTTTATTTTATTTATAAAAATTGACAAAATAATAGATAATTTAAATATTCATTTAAAATTATAAATAAAATATATCATAAAGATCGAATAAATTGTTATTTTAAGGGGTCAGCCTGGGCTAGTTAGTAAAATCGTATGTTTCAGTACATGGTATTTTGGATTCGATCCTCAGAGTGCTATCCTTCTATTTCCCGAATTTATCTAGAAGGATATAAAACTGATATTTATAATTATTATAATATATTATTGTAATATATTTAATAATTGTTAAATATTACCATATTTAATTTTACCTTAAATATTAATTCCTCAACATTTCATATTCTCAGGGATTATAATTGTTTTCTATTAACAAAAATTTAAAGTTATTAATATTTTCTGAAAAAGAAAGTATTTTAATGGTTAAAGTTAATGTCACTGTATTACATTTAATTCAAGGGTTTGAAGATGCTGGTGATCAACAAATATCATTTTACGAGGATACAAATTTTAAACAGGAGATTGAAAATATATGGGTAGCTTTAGAACCTTTATACAAACAATTACATGCCTATGTCCGAAGAAAGCTAATAGCGCATTATGGAAATCGAAGGGTTAGACCGGATGGTCCTATTCCTGCACATCTTTTAGGTATCATTAAATATAAAAACTTTTTTTTTGAATAATTATTTTGAAGAAAATAACTCTTAGCGTGATTTTATCCAGTCTTTTTTAATATTTTAAAAAATATGCTATATATAGATTTTTAATAAGTCTTAAAGTCAATTTTAAAAAAACTGTAACATAACGATGTAATGGACAGTGAGGGAGTTGGGTTGGGTTTGGTTTGGTCTTGATGCCAAACTTTTCAAAAAATATTTTTTTGTTAATTGTGAATTAATTGTCTACAAGGAATTTTCATCAAAGTCAAAAATATAATTTTCTTGAACAATTCTTCACGATAATTTTATATCTGCAATTAACTAACTTTATATAATAAAACTAACTTTTGATATTATTACTAATTAGTTAAAATCGAGTAAAAAGAATAATGAAATAACAAAAAAAATGATAGCACTGTGGGTTGCGGCACAGTATGAACGTGGGATAGTTGGGACAAGCAATAATGCTATATGTCTGTGATTTTAATCAATGTCATAAGAAACGCTTCGATTCCAATCTGTAGATTGGTTGGGTTTAATTTTAATTCAATGTAGTGCATAAATACAAAAGCAACATCAATTATTATTTCCTTAATATTACCTGATTTTTTAGATTTAAAAGTATTATGTATAAATAATATTTTTTATAGCAATTAAATATTATATGGTGAAATAATAAATGATAAATTTATATACATGTTTGTCATGGAAGTAACCAAATATACTACTTTTTATATATTTTATTATTTCAACATAAAAATTACAATATTAAATTATTATGTTGGGTTTGGTAATTTGATACTATATTTAATTGCTATAATAAATATTATTAATAAATTATACTTTTAAATCTTAGAACTATTAATCAAGGTATAATTAAGGAAACAAGAGATGATGTTGCTTTTGTATTTATACACTGCATTTTTTAAATAAACTCAACCAATCTACAGTTTGAAGCGTTTTTTATGATAATGATTTTAATTACTATCAGATTATTTTTATATTGGACCCAACTATCCCACGTCATGCTTTGCCTCGACCTCACTGTGCTATTGTTTTTTTATATGTTAATACTCTTTTCTTACTAATTAGTAATAATCTTAAACATTAGAGTTGATTCTCATAAAAATCATATACAAATTGCAATTAAATTTATTTGAATATACTTATCGTTTAAGTAAAAATTGAGAAATTTCAAAACATTCTTGATGCAAAATGGCAATAAAGCGTACGACAATAATATTTATTACTATTAGGTATTAATCTATACAATTGTTTCCTTTGATGATTCCACGCTGTGTTGAGTACCTTATATACAGAATTTTTACTGAATAGCTCACAATCTTAAAAACAAATTTTTTGAGTTATTAAATTATACTTTGCACGATGTAATACTATATCATACATTTAAAATTAAAACTATATTAAAAATATTATTAATTTAAAACTAAAAAATATTTAACTAACCAAACCAAACCCAACCAAACCACAAAAAAGTACTAAAAAAACGTGGGTACATATTTCGGAAACAATGTTACCATTATTATTACGAACACAAAAGTGTAATAAATAAAGAGGAACAGCTATTACATTCACTAGCGTGGGGGAACAAAAAGTAATTAAATAACCCATTTTATATTATCCGAGCATCGAAAATGGACTAGCTAGATTTTTTAAGAATTTTGGTATTAATTAAGAAATATTAAGAGTAATAATTTAAGAGATTTAATAAGTAACCTTAACCCTTTAGCAGGCGCGTGCCTATTTTTAACGTTCATAGTCGCGTGGGGGTCTGTAAGACCCTATTTTTAAAAAAGTATAAAATATGTCTAAAAAAGTTCATTTTTTTTAATTCAAAGAAATTATTTGTTATGATATATAAATATGGATAAAAATTCAATAATAAAAATTAAAAAATAAATAAATTACAAAATTATGTACATTACTAAAAATTATATTACAAAAAAAAACTTTAAAGAGCACTTAAGAAATATTAAAAATCAAGAAGTTGATAAATCTCCGTTAGTTGAATATTTATTGACACATAAGCACTCAATTAAAACCATAAAATTAATTAAAAATGTAAATAATGACTAAGAACTTAATATAAAGGAGGCAATAAAAATATTTTAAAATAAGTAAAATTTCATTAATTGGAATTTTGGCCAACTGAAAAATTCATTATTAAACTTGTAAAAACTTGCAAATTGTGATAATATCACTCAGTGATAAGGTTAATAAGGGTATTTAAGGGGGTTTATTGTGGTTGTGGTTATAGTATGTGTTTAGCGTTGATAATGCTAACATTGTTTCCGTAAAACGGAATTTTTTATAGCTTTTTGAGTTTAATATTATTAATGTATTTCAGTTTTAACAATATACTTTTTAATATAATTTTAATTTTAAATAATATTAGCCACGAGTGATTATTTTTATTATATTATATCATAAAGTTATACTATGATTTCATATAATTTTATTGTTTGAAATTTTTTGATAATTATCTATGTATATATATGTATATTAGTAATGGGAAATATCGAATAGTAATTATCGAACTATTCGATAGTCATTCAAAAAATATTCGATAGTTACATAATATATTCGAATAGTTTTTAAAACTATTCGATAGTTTATGCTAAAAATAAACTATTCGGTTGTATAAACACAATTCGAATAGTTATACGATAGTTTAAAATATTTGAAAATAACAAACATTAATTTTTACTATTATTAATTGTATAATAATTTATTTTAAGTATTCGCTAATTATCTTCTTATTTTAATTAAGTGTACTTAATAAACATTTTAGATAGAACTAATCGAATAATTTTTAAAACCATTCGGTAGCCTATTTGAAAAGTTTTTAAAACTATTCGATAGTTTATGCTAAAAATAAACTATTCGGTTGTATAAAAACAATTCGAATAGTTATACGATAGTTTAAAATATTTGAAAATAACAAACATTAATTTTTACTATTATTAATTGTATAATAATTTATTTTAAGTATTCGCTAATTATCTTCTTATTTTAATTAAGTGTACTTAATAAACATTTTAGATAGAACTAATCGAATAATTTTTAAAACCATTCGGTAGCCTATTTGAAAAGTTTTTAAAACTATTCGATAGTTTATGCTAAAAATAAACTATTCGGTTGTATAAAAACAATTCGAATAGTTATACGATAGTTTAAAATATTTGAAAATAACAAACATTAATTTTTACTATTATTAATTGTATAATAATTTATTTTAAGTATTCGCTAATTATCTTCTTATTTTAATTAAGTGTACTTAATAAACATTTTAGATAGAACTAATCGAATAATTTTTAAAACCATTCGGTAGCCTATTTGAAAAGTTTTTAAAACTATTCGATAGTTTATGCTAAAAATAAACTATTCGGTTGTATAAAAACAATTCGAATAGTTATACGATAGTTTAAAATATTTGAAAATAACAAACATTAATTTTTACTATTATTAATTGTATAATAATTTATTTTAAGTATTCGCTAATTATCTTCTTATTTTAATTAAGTGTACTTAATAAACATTTTAGATAGAACTAATCGAATAATTTTTAAAACCATTCGGTAGCCTATTTGAAAAGTTTTTAAAACTATTCGATAGTTTATGCTAAAAATAAACTATTCGGTTGTATAAAAACAATTCGAATAGATATTCGATAGTTTAAAATATTCGAAAATGCCCATCACTAATATGTATATATTGGTAATATCTACTGGATGGTGCTTAAATATCATTAATTCTTTACAAAATTGTAATGTAAAAATAATTTATAGTTAAACTAAATATGTTTTTATAATTCCTAAGGTAATATGTGGGCGCAGAACTGGAAAAATATTATAGATTTAGTTATGCCGTATCCAGGTAAAAGACGAGTCGATGTAACAGGAGAAATGCTACGTCAAGGCTACACTCCTTTAAAGTGAATTATTTAAATTTAAGAAATAAAATATAGACTAAAAATATTTGTCCTTACCAATAGCAATGATTTAATTTAAAATTTTATATGTTAAAAGAAAATTAACCAATATTTTATTTTTTTACAATCACGGACAAAAATAGTTTAGCCGTGTGAAATAAATATATAATCAACTGTGAAACGTTTAATGATGCAAATCATAAAGAGAATATTGTAACATAGTCTTATATTAGCTATATATATATATATTTAATATAACATAGTTATACTCTTTTTATCGTATAAATCATACGAGGTGTGTTCAAAAAGTAAGGTGACTTTTCAAATTTCGCGGGCTACGTCCGTTCGATGATTAGACCCTATGAAAAACCCTATGAAAGGACGAAGATTTGCAACGATCGAGGAGATAAAAACTACATCGCTGAAAGAGCTCAAGGCTATACCAAAAAGTGCTTATCAGAAGTGTTTCGAAGATTGGAAAAAGCGTTGGCACAAGTGTATTACATCTGAGGGGGATTACTTTGAAGGGGACAACATAAACATTGATGAATAAATAAATAGTTTTTCATATAAATATCAAGTCACCTTACTTTTTGAACACACCTCGTATTCCTATAATTAACTATTAAACTTTGTTTAAAAATAGGATGTTCCATATGGCAGAAGAATTTTTCACATCATTGGGCTTAAAGGCAATGCCAATTCAATTTTGGCATAATTCAGTATTTGAAAGACCATTTAATCGTCCTATATCATGTAAAGCATCTGCTTGGGATTTTTGCGATAAACATGATTTTAGGTAACGTAAATAATTATTATTATATGATTTATTATCATGAATTATATAACTTATATAAGTAATGTTTTTTACGGAATTTTGTATCAATTATAAAACGTTTTTTGTGTATAAAATATGGAATCTACAATTCATAAATCACTTCTATTAAATTTAGTTCATATTAATGTTAAAATGTCAAGTACAGTTTGGGGCCTATTATAATTTAAATTCTACAGGAAATATAAACATCTTATTTCTATTTAACATCGTATTATTTGAATAATATTTAACATAAATTTTAGCTTTGATACCAAGCTGAGAAGCTATTAATTTTATTATTATATGTTTTTTTTTGTGTTAGTATATGTCATTACTTCCGCTGCTACTGAATAGGCTTTACTCAACAATATTTCAACAGGGATGACAGTCAACTCATCCCGCGTAATTCAATTTATCGGTGAACTATTATTTCATTTCAATATGATATAATTATCTAGTTATGCAATAATACTTCAGAAGTAGGATTAGAAAACTTAAGTCTAATTAAATCGACACTCATTTATAAAAACTGAATAATATCTGATAGAAATACTTGGTTTACTAAGAAAGAATTCGAGAAAATATGCGAACAATATAAAATAAACTGTTTGAAAGGCAACAGCTAATACAAAGGCTAATTGTCCTGTGGGTTGGGTTTTCTCTTTTTTGGTCTTCCTCTACCTTTTATTCCTTTAACATTACCAAACTATCTAAGTCTATTTTCTTTTATCCACGATTGACATTATTCCTATAATCTCACTTATATATTCGTTCCTCATCCTATCTTCTCCAGTATTTCCACTCATCCATCTCATCATTGTCATCTCTGTTACACGCATTCTCTGCTCTACTTTCTTGTCAACCACCCAACACTCTGAACCATACGTTATAGTTGGTCTCACTATAGTCTTATAGAACTTACCTTTCAGCCTAATAGGAATTCTTTTATTGCATAACACACCAGACGTTTCTCCACAATTTAACCACCTTCACTTAATCCTGTGTCTTACATCCTCATAAATACCACCATTCTTTTGCGCAAATAATTCTAAATAATTAAAACTTTCTACCTCTTTTATCACGTCCTCACCTATTGTGACTGATCTCCTCATTTCACCTCCTCGTGTTCATCTTTGTCAAACTCGTACTCTGTATTTACCGTCTTAGTTTTATTTATTCTTAAACCTTTTTCTTCAAAAGCTGATCTCCACACATCTAGCCACACGTTTATCACAAAGCGACGCGGTACCATATCAGGAAAATTTTTTTGAAAATTTCATGTCATTACATTAAAACTAGAAATTATCATTAAAAAAAATTAAATTTTAAGTTTTTAACTCTTAAGGAATGAAAAAAAAAAAAACTTCTTATTTTCAACTAACATAGTTGAAACTAAAAATTTATTTTGTAATAATGATATTCATATACTATTTATTTCTAATCTAAAAAATACTTAATCTCTTATTTTTTTATTACGTATTAATAAAATACGTATTTATTAATAAATCTAAAAACATTTTATTTTTAATTCGTAGAATAAAACAATGTACAGATATTACGATGGATGATTTATTCACTGTACATCATGAAATGACACATATTCAATACTATCTTCATTATGCTAATAAGCCTCTTCTTTTTAGAGATGGTGCTAATCCAGGTAATGTATATTTCAATGTATTTAGTTAAAATTAAAGATGAATGAATGTTACTGTTATTACTTCAAACTGACAGTAATAAAAATAAAAATAAAAATTTCATTACGGTTTATAGGCAAAATGATGTGGTTAACAATTTAAAATAGCCAGTTTTGGCTTCTTTTTCCTTACCTTTATCCCAACTATTTGGGGTCAGCTACCCTTATCCTAATAATTTACTTAACACAATAAAATTGATTACATGATTTTAGGATAAGTAATCATTGAATTTCAAGTATTTTATTACATAGAGTGGTTATGTAGCGCTGGTGGGAAGAGCTTGTAATAATATATATCTATAACGCATACTCCACCTTTTTTTTGACGTTATTATTACATTGATTTTCATCTGGATAATATATAACCTGATTTTTGACAGCTTACTTTCTGTAACATATTTTATTTAACGTTATATTACCTGATATATAGGCATAGTGTTGCATAAAATATAATATTAAGATAATTCTATCTTAATTGCTATCTTACGTTTTTACTATTTAACACCTATAACAACATCTATTCTTCAATGATGAGCTAACCAATTATAGTTGATTAGCTCATATTCGAGAGTCGTCTAAAATGTAAGGTTACAAGGCCATAAGACCATAGATTATAAGATGATTTTTTTTTTGTAGTTAATATTTGTATGATATAGAGCAAATCTGCATAATCAAAATAAGGTTTTGTAGTTTTCTCTGATGAAAAGTACCATCACAATATTAATTATCATCGAGGAAATTTTAAACTATACACTCCAATTTCAATAAGTATGCATTTATACATTCTTCAATTTACTCTAACGTATTTATTGCAAATATCCATTAGAAATTCTAGAAAAATTATTACATTGACAAAATATCATTGACTTTGATGGGACTAAGGTTGATATTATATTGAATAAATAAATAACACCTTGATTAAATATCAGTGAAAATATATTTTACAATTGCTATATCCGTAAAAGTACATAAAAACAAGATCAGTTTTCAGGAGGAAGTAGACAGTGTTAATGTTATGTTTGGTGCATCACCGGACCGGTTATCGTCACCCGCGGTCACTCGACGTCGCGCGACCTGTTGGACGAGGAGAGGTAGCTGTGTTGCAGTCGCCATCCAGCGGTAAAGCCGGAAGTGCAATGCGACCGCGTCATACTCCCTCCCAGTCCGACCGGTTGGCTAACCTGTTGAGCCTAGGGAAAGTGGTCTACCGGGACGCCTTCCAGATCGGAAAAGTCCGGCAGCAGGATGGGTGAAGCGTGGAGGATTGCCTCGGCGTCGGGTTCCACCTCCATCCTCTCCATGATGTTCGGCTGTTGGAAGGTTAGGTCCAATGGCGGATCTATCCGATCGTTTCCTAGGAACACGTCCGGTAGATCGGGTTGTCGGTCCCGGCTCACGTTTCCGTCGGGCCGAGAACCACTTCTCACTCCGCTTACCACTACTGTGACAGGGGCAGGCTAGCTGAGAGCTTGTGCCACCTGTTTCGGGCGGAAGCGACCGTGATCGTCCCATGTATTGTGCCGGTGGTTTGGCCGATTTCGCTCCAGCCGCTCTTGTGCTGGTTGCCATGAACGGTGAGCACGTGGCCGTGGCTCTGCCGGACCATCGTTCCGTCTCCGGGTTTCCCCTTGGCGGACTCTCTCGATCAAGCCGCGATCGAAAGCGGCCCACAGTAGTGGCTGGGATTGCAACTCCCAGACTTCTGCCGTCCTGATCCAAGCTCGGCTCCAATTCGGCAATTCCTCGTAAGTTTCCCCCAATAATGCCGCTGCTTGCCGTCATGTTGGCGCATCATGGTCGCGGTTTCGACGGCTAATCGACGAGATCAGCGGAACGGGCGGGCTTCTCCTTGCTGCTGGTTGTCGGTCATCCTGTAACAGAGAATGATTGTTAGGATTACCTCCTAGTCATGTTTCATGGCCGTAACATGCAGCTTCAACTGATGCTTTCCTTTGGTCGCAAATACTCCCTCACCTAACCTTTTGGCTAGTTGCACGTTGGTTCAAACCAAGCCACATAGGGGCAAAGCCGGCATGAGATCTTTTATCAGCGCTGAATACCCTTTGGGATGCGCGCGATAATATACCCAATCCCCTTCCTCAAAGCGTTTGCGGTGATTTTCACGGGATATATTGTGACCATCGTTGTTTTTACCGAAAGGTGACCCGAAATATTGAGAGGGTTGTCCTTCCCCACAGAGATTTTAATTTTCCCATCGAAGATACCGGAGTTATGGTCATCTTCGGCCTTTTCAGGGAAAATTGTTGTTTTTCGGTAATGATTTGGCGTAATCCTTTTTGTGGCCGGCTATTTCTATTTGTTTCGGGTTTTTACCCGTAGAAATAATGTCCAGCAGCCAATCGCCGGGGGCTTTGGCTTCTCGCCCAAAGACCCGCTCAGAGGGGTGCTCCCTGTTAGCGTGCTCCAACGATTTCTTATTGAAAAAAGTATATTCGTAATACAGCTGCCCTAGTGGCTATGTGGTTTGTCAACCAAAGTTGTACGAAGACCTTTTTTCAAATCCTGGCTTCGGCGCTTTACCGGGTTTGCTCTTGGATGGTAAATTGGCGTTGTCCATCCTGCTATGCCCCACTTCTCCAGTACTTTCTCCATTGTTTTGGAGACGAATTGTGTTCCATTGTCTGAGCATAGCCGAAACGAGAGAAGAACTCTCTTCCTAGAGTGTCGGTAATCGTCTTAGCGATGGCTTGCCCTAGGGGGTATGCTTCTACCCATCTGCTGTAGCAGTCTGTTGCTACAAGTAGACAAGTCTTACCGCGTTGATATCTTGGGTATGGCCCCATAAAATCAATACTAACAACCTACCATGTCTGGCGGGGCTGTTTTGGTCGCCTTGGGTCGTCTTGCTTCCGGTTCAGCGGTTTAACGCAAGCACAAACTTGACACCTTGCGACATATTGACGTACCGACTCTCTCATACTGGTGCATTAGAAACAATTACCGATGTTCCAGTAATTGTTTCTACTGTTATTTATCCATCCTGGATGTCCGACAGAAACATGGTCATGATAACTCTATAGCAGGTGATCTGACATGTCCGACGGAACGACGATAATCTTTCCGTCCGTTCCGTTATTTACCGGGCCTTTTAGTAAAATACCATTTTGCAAGTAGTATTCCTGGTGTAAGCGCCGGTAAATTGGATTGTCACTCCGGAGTTTCCGGACTTACTGGGTCAAAGTTGCATCCTCGGCTTGCCAGGTTCTAATGTCGGAAATAGCTATATTCTCCGGGTATGTTTTTTGCTCTTTTACCGTTTTTAACTGTGCTAAAAGAGTTACTTTTCCCATGCAAATATGTTTTTTCTGACTTTTGCTCGGGTGAGTCGTCTAAGCTTGGGTCCTGGTCGGACACTGAACGATTACTCTGTTCGTCAGTCAACATTTCTCCTGTAAATAAGTTTGCGGCTCGGACCCGGAGGTCATAAAGTGAATCTGTGTCAGATTTCCTTCGGTTCCAAGTGATACCAGTGAAAGGAATTAACTCCTTCGGAAGTTTTAACGGGAAAGACTGTGGAACCGTTAACAACTCATGTGTTAGCTGGTCTTGTTTCAGAGATTTGTTCGGGAAACTGTTCTCGGAGAGAGCTGCTTGTGTTCCTTGGCCAGGACGTTTTGCACTACTCTCCTGTATTTTTGAAACTTCTCTATCTATTGTACATTTCTTCCGTGGATACTCCGTTTTATCTCCAGATTTGATAGCGGCGAGCTGCATATTTTTACGCGTCTCCAGTGTCTTTTTGGGTTCCTGGTCGGAAACTTCGGTACTGGGCTTGCGTTTACGGTACTTTGGACGGGCTAGTTTTTCTTGTCCGGTCGGTTTCCCGTGAACCTTCTGGAACTCTTCCCGTTTCCCGTATTCGCCATATTTCTTTCCGGGCAATTTGCCCACCAGTGCCCAGTAAGGTTGCAGTTTTTACAACGTGCCGCTCCCGATGGGCTTTTTTCCGGTCTAATAACCTCTTTCTTCAGTGGCGGTTTCTTATTTGCCCATTTGAAACTATTCCCTTCCGCGGAATACTTCTTTTCTTCGGGCTGCCGTTCCGGAGCAAGGTCCTCTACGTCCAAGTCGCTAGCCAGCTCTAGCATATCTTCTATTGACCTAGGGCGTCTCACTCTTACGTAGACCCGGTAGTCACTACGCATGAGCCCTGTGATTAGGTCAACCAACTCGTACTCTGTGAGCCTTGAGTCGAGACGACAGGATAGCTGGCTCTTCCAAACTACAAACTCCCCTAGAGATTGTCATTCGCCTTGGTGAGCACTGTGAAGATCATTGCGTACTTGGGTAAGTAAAGCAATGCTATTAAACCTCCTCAAAAATTGTTGCCGGAACACTGTCCATGTGGGGTTCAAGCAGCGTATAGTACCCCACCAGTTACCTGCCTCTGTTTTTAACTGTGGGGACAGTACATGTACCCACTTCTGGTGTGGTACGTTCGCGCTTCGATTAGAACCAATTCAGCCTCTTCAATGAAAGCGTTGGGGTCCTTTTGTTTCTTTCCGGAAAACTCCGACAGAGAATCACGCACCAACGTTAGACTGTCGTGGGACAGTAACGACGTTTCGTTAAAAGTAACGTGACGTTGCTCCCTGGTCCTATTGTCCGGACGGGAACGACTTTCAGATCGTTCTACTCCGTTAATACCGGTCATTCCTTGGTTTGAAACGAAAGTGTGGTGTTTCTGACCGAAGAAACTCGAATTTTTACCGGAGAACTGTATGTCCTGATGATGGTCCTCGGTCGTCCGGTTACTTTCAACGGCAGGACTCTGGTTTGAACCGGAAAAGTAAAAACTTACATCGGAGAACTGTTTGTTCCGATGATGTTCTCCCGTAATCCACCGGAGAAATTTGAATTTTCTTCTTGACAAAGGGGTCCCGGTTGGTGTAACCCGGGGTACTAGTCGTTTAGACGGGCCGAAACAAATTTTTCACCGGAGA